TTATATTTATACGATCTGTTATTAAAATCTGTCAGATCGAATCACTATGATATATGTTCGACCGATTTCTTGATTCGATGAGGCTTTGTTTCCTCAAAAAAGCATTCAACATCATGAAATCTGGTATCATATATACATATCTATAAATATATATGGACATAAAAATCGAAGAACTATATCACAGACCCCCATACAAGCGATTTGTTCGCCAGAGAGATTTTGGTTCCAAAACCCGTCAAAAGAACATATGCGCGAAATGTTTTTCTATGGTGTTCTCTCTTAAAATGAAACACCGTAAATTTGTTACGCTCATGAAAGGTATATAAAAGCTTCCGCTTGGCCGAATACAGAACTTCTTCTTGTTACATTTATTTTCATTAAAAATTAAAAGTAAAAAAGTGTCCTTACTTTTTTCAATTCAATTGTTATTTACAAAGATCCAATTTTTTTTATAAAATTATTTAAAATTTAATGAGTTGAATGCACTTGTTTTTGTTTTAATATCTTTATTTTAAGTTTGATATATATAGTTTTTGATAACTCACTTTCTTCAGTTTTCCATATATTTGATTATTTCATTTATTGAAAGATGAATTTTTAACATTCTAAGTTTAGAAAAATTCAATGTGAAAATGGAAAAAAAATTAATCTATAAAAATCTTAAAAAATAAGGAAATTAAAAAAACCTAAACGCAAATAATTCCAATATTTTTTAGTTTATTTTCTGCAATGTAATGAAAATAAAATTACTTTCGGACGTTTCTGTGTTTGTAAAGAAAAGAAAGAATTTTTAGCAAAAAAAAAAAATTCTTTAAAAAATAAAAAATGATAGTAAAATTCAAAAAAAAAAAATAATAATTTAGAGTTTACTTAATATTGGGTTTAACTACCTGCCGTTTTGGTTTCATGCTTCCAGCTATCTAATTATTAAACTAATTTAATGGATTTCCCTGAATTTAATTTATCAAGCTCTTATGAGTGCACACATAAGTACAATATGCATATGTCGTAAATAGTTCACGCTAACAATTTAAACGGGCTCGCGAATAGTTATTAAAGTGTTGCATATCATTAAATACATATTTTACTGAGCCTACTTTACAGCCAGCCCATCATCATAACCAGCATTCCTTGCGTGCTGTGCTGGTTGTACTTCTACGTGCCAATATTTTTAAATTAAAATACACTTGTCTAACAAACAGCTATTTGTTATTCAAATATTGATACTTATCAAGGTGAAGTGAGTTAAATTCATACGGCCATACACACATACATACATGTACATATACATAGCAGATAAGCAATAACCATGCAGGCAGTACGGAGCGTATGAGCAACTTGTGGAAAATACAATTTTACATACATGCATGCGCACATACTGGGCTGCAGTACATATAATATACATAGCAGCTGCCTGCATGTAAATTATAAGTTTCATTGCATGTGCAAGTAGCCCAGACTGACACTTGTTAACCGTGAATTGTATGTAATAAAAATAAATTAATAAAATATATGGAATAGAAAAAAGTTACTACTACAGTATGTTACGTAAATATAATATAATAAATTAAGAATAAAAAACATGTATTTAAATTTATGTTTAAAAAAAGAACATTTAAATAAAAGCTAAAATAAAATTAGTTATTAAGAGAAATAAAATATTTTAATATAAAATTCACTGAAAAGTATTGCCTCCACACAGTGTGGATAATTCCACGTACATCATTGAGCTCAAAAAGTGTACAAACGTTAAGACGCCCACAGTTTGGTGAAAAGGGAAATCAAAGCAAACAACAACGAAAATACGTTTGTTTACAAATTGTTGACAATAAAATTAGAGACGTGCAACCGCAGGCTAAAATCAACTACATACATAAGCTAAAACAACAAAACTACAATGAAAACCGCAGAAATTGAGAAAGAACGAGCAAAAATAAAAATAAAAAAAATAACGACCACATGAAAAATCTGTTTAAAATGTGAAGACAAATTGTCTTTTGTACAACAATTACAAATACATATATATATATATAAATATATATATCTGTCCGAGGCTATGTCCATACTTGATTCAGAGCGATTATAGTAAACAATAACAAAAGATAATGTGAAAAAAATATAATAATGAAAACAAATAAATAAATAAATATATTAAGAACTTAAAAAGAGCTAAATGTGTAAAACGCATTTTTATAAATCTTTGCATATTAGTTCTGAAGCAGTTTAAAGCTAGAGCTGTAAATTTTGAAGTTTTTAAAATAAAAATAAAATATTTCAACGAATTTGTTAATTATAACTCAGCACTTGAAGTGTTGCATTAAATAAAGCAAAAAAAAAATTATAAATAACTAGGTTGCCCAAGTCTTCGACCGCATAGAATTTTAGGATGGTTCTAATAAGACTTTTATTAGGTTTTCACATTTTCTCTTTTTTATTACTTATAAACTACTATGCTCTAAAATATATAAAAAGTAATAAAAGTTTTTCCCATACTCGTATTAGTCTAGGCAAAGTGTTACATCTGTACCAAATTCCCTGTAAATGATCGATGAAAAGATCGATCTCAGGTCATTCTAATCGGATAAACATCACACGCATACACCCTCCAAGTCTCAAGTCACTGCGTTCAGCCGTGGGTATATCCTTCAGTCAATCAAGACATCTGCTATAATAAGGTTAAGGGGCACACCTAGTGTAATGGCCTAAAAAAAGGTTATTTTTGGGAATTTTTATTAAAAAAATACTTTAGCAATTATTTCAGAATTTGAAGAGTATATTTATACATATAATATTTCAAGAATATACAGTGAAATTTTTGAAGAAAAAAATTTAATATTATTTGAGTTATAGTCGATATCCAACGGCGCGAAAAAAGAGTCCTTCACTGCTGCAGTGATTCCGACCTTCTCCGTGGATGAAATCTTAAAAACAATTCTCGTTAAACTAGATAATATTGTCTGTACAATGACCTACGATAAAAAAAAATTAAAAATTGACATTATGGCGGCGTTTTAAAAAAAATCGATTTTTAACCAAAATTTTGGTCGTTTTTGGCCTGCCAAATTCCATTTTTTGATCAGATCAAAAATCGATAGGTCATTGTACGGAGAACTATATATAGAACATTCATCATCATCATCGGATCATTTGTTTTTGAGTAATCACTGCAGCAGATTCGGAAAATGCTGTTTCGAGAAAAACGCGTTGAAAGATAAAATGATCGTTTCCACTCGTTGCTAATGAGACTTTCTAGCTGCCGAGCGGCTGCACTTTAAATTGTTAAAACTCCAAAGCTATTTGAGGTATCGATTTGAAATTTTAATATTTTTTTTTTAAAGGTGTAATCTACCGAAATATGGTAGGTCTGTCAGTGAGTTTAAAAAAATTAAGTAAAAACCTTTTCAAATTATGGCGCTCTCAATAAATAGGTGGGCGCGTCTCTTCGCCGCAGTCGGGATTTTCTAGTTGAGTTACACTAATGGGTTGGTATGATTTTTCAATTATGTGAAGCACTTCGTTCTGCTCCTTTCAATTTCAGGCTTAACCCGTAGAATACCAAGGCCTTTATGTATGTTTACGTTACGGACGTACTTTTGGGGCACACGTTATTGCCTTCAGAGTATTGCAACCTCAGTATTTTGCCAATATTAGTTGCACAGGTCACACCCATTAATACCAATTGGTTTTAAATTGCATTATAAATGACTTTTTTTTATTCCAGCTTTAGCGGAGAGTCCCCAATTTAACCTAGCTGCTTTTGATGTCAAGCATAAATATTTGGCATCTATGTATATGTATTTTCGAAATGATCCTTCTGTCTAAGGGTATGCCAAGATATGTTACATCGTTTGCTTGGGAAATAGTTATACCATTTAATGTAATTGTTTCATCTTTTGCTCATTGACTTTCTGGCCGTTTTGAGTGTTGTTGCATTTTTGCTGAAATTTGGTATCAGTTTTTCTATATATGATTTGACATTATGATCTTCTGCCTGTTTCAGGGTACTTTTCAGTTTTTACTCCACAGATATTAATCGAAATTTTGAGGCAGGAGAGCAATATGCATGCCATTCTCTCTGCAGACGACGCTTTTTATTACAAACTTTTTAAGAAACAAATTAGAAATTTTAAAGTCCACAAAAAAATGAAAAAAGAAATGAAATAAGTTCCAAAATAAACATATCTAAATTTAAAGTAAACAATAAAGGAAAATCCATTTTCGAAGGTTCGTGAGCTATTTCGCTCAATTCCCCAAAGGTTGTATCCACTAGATACTTCAACGGACTCCTTCAAAGTGCGGGGAAATTATAAAGCCTCATGGCTTCAAATTGTTCTTTTTGTTAGCAACTTCTGCAGAAGTCGTTAGATGGTACCCCCCACCTCCCTGCGTGCCTGCCCTTTAGAATATATGTGTTGTAAGAAGACTTATAACTGTAAATATCCCGTTTGTTTTAGCGCAATAAGGTCATAAGAACTACTTCTGTTTCCATCTGGCCATATTTGTACTAGTCACATTACAAGCATTGAGACTTCTCCACCTCTGTTGGGCTTATAAGTGGAGAGCGGTATCACCAAACTCTTCCATGAGAGTTTTGTAGAATTATAGTTTTGAAAAAAAAAGTAAAAAAAAATTAAGTTAGAAATATTTACATTAAATAATTTATAACAACAACACAAATAGTTAAAACACAAAATACAAGAGCTGTGAGTGAGTTTTTTGATTAATAATTTTTTTAAATACTATAATTTCTAAAAAAAATATGAACATATATAAGTATCTATGTTTGTTAATAAATAAAAATTGGCTTGACTTGAATATATGAAACAAATTTTCATTCCTGATAAAACCAACGAAAACAATCAGAAATGAGATAAATTTAGTTGCGTAAAAAAAAAATAAAAAAAAAATATTTTTGAAATTAATATTATTAATAATTAAGTAAATAGTAATAAAAGGTAATAATTAAAAACATTAACTGAATTCACAAATTAAACTTCAGAGCAACAGAAATTTATAAAAAAGGAAAGAAAATTTCGAAATCAGCTCAGTCAGTGGTTGCTTTTAAGTCAAAATATAAAACAAAAAAGTAAATTATGCAAAAATATCTGTGAAAATGAAATGAAAATTGCCACAACCGCACATAACGCGTACCGCTGGGCCACAGAGGGACAGTGCCACCAAAAAAGCAACAACTCACTAAAAATAGCATAGAGCTATATGGCAGTACGAAAATGTTGGCGCGCAGGCAATGCCGGAAAGATTTTTTCATCGACAAAATTATTTGGTAGTCTACAATACACATATACGTGTATGTCTAGATATGTCTGTCTTTCTGTCTGTCTATATGTACGTAAGTGACGCGCATTAAATGGCGAGTGAAAAAACATAAATGGAAAATACCAAATTATTACGGTAATAAAGTTGGCAATAAAAGAGGTATTTAAAAAAAATTATAATAATTATGAGTAAGATAAATAAATAAACATTTTCCTGGAATAACAGATAATAAATGAACTCTTCATGTTGCAGTTGAGAGACTTACTTGATTTTTGCTTGACTTGTTTGCAATATTGGTACACCAAAAATGAATGTCAGAATCTCGTTGGGTGAAAACAGCAAGAAACAAAACAAAAAATATTGTTTTTAAACGTCGCCACTCACTTTCAAAACACTTTAAAGTTACTTTTTTTTGCAAATAATATTTTTGCTCAAGAATATTCACCTACATACATACATATATGCTTCTGCTGTTAATGACAAAACTGTGCCAACTTATGAATTTTGTCAGTTTGCTTTTGCACACCTTACACTTTATTGTAAATGTGTTACAATCTTACACACACTCACAGCGAGCACTTTCGTCATTGACAATGCAGTGAGAAATTTATATGTTACAAGCGACACTTTTCACCGTCAATATTCAAATTTATTTGCTTTTATTTATTTTCTTTTTTCAACTTGAATATTTCGCATGAAAATTTTAAGAACACCTTTCTTTTGGTTCATCGCTTTGACACTCTAGTTTTCGACCGCTTTCAAAACCGAAAACGTTGTTTCAAGTTTCGTTTGCCAATTTCAACTAAAACCGAAAACGTACCGTTTCGTTGCTTAAAAATCAAATCTCGAAAAACAAGCCAAACAAAACTCAAAAAACACCAAATACCGCGCCACTCAAATGCCAACTCACCCAAATGTACTCACAAATCTATGTAAATATGAATCAGTCGAGCGGCAAAGCAATATGCTCATGAGCTTTTGAGAGTACGACAATGAGTACGTGCTCAATCTGGCAAGCGATCATGCCGCTCGCTACATGCAATGTGACTAATTGGGTTATTTTCACTAGAAAAAAGTTAATATTTTGTATTGTAGGCTAAAAATATATGTATGTATTGTTATTAATTTCAATTTTACAAAAGTTTTTTTTTATTATTAATAAGCCCACCAAACAAATTACACCACTAGAGGCCCCCTAAATACGGAGTTCGCTCCTCATTATTATACCTGTTGTGTTCTCGCACCATAAACAGGCTACATTGCCCTCAACTCGACGGTTAAATACCCCAAGATCTACTTCAGTAAGCAATAAAAAAAAGTAGAAAACAGCACTAGGAATATGGCAATAGAATTCAATCCGACTAAAATCGAACTAGTACTCTTTACCAGACAGCCGATCTCGCTTAAACCTATCCAAATTAAAGACTCAGAATTCAAAACCGAGCTTAAATTTCGGCAGTTGTTAGATTCATCCCTTACTATGACCTTAACGTTCAGTGGCACTAGAGCGCAGAGTACTTGTGTTCTCATAAATAAAACTCTTCCATGGACTTCCACGAAAGCACCAGAAATTTTCTTCTAATATACAAGGATCGCATAGAGGAACGAATGGATAAATTCTAGTATTCTAAAACGTACCGGATACCGGATCCACTCTCCATCGTACTCCCACATATCGCTAATCGATCATGACACTACCGGACCACTGCAGTGTATTTCAAGCAAAAATTCATTAATCGTTACTATATAAGATACGTTATCTGTATAAACGTGCAAACGAGTAGAGGAATCGTCACAACAAATCCGATCTCTACAGTAGGCTGAAATTGATTAAAAGGCCTATACTCATAACATTTTCCGTAATGAAACCACACATAAAGTAACAAGATGGACCTAAGCGCTAAGAGGTCAATAACCTCTCGTGTATTTATTCTAAACCAGTTCTGGAACTGGAGGTGTAGGAAGGTGCTTTGCAGCGATGTTAAGGATCTAGCACTGAGGCCCCCGCGTCACTACTTTCTCATAAAATCTAATTTAGACTTACTCGCTGAACTAACCAGATATAGAAATATTGAATGGTTCGCGGGCTTGAGTAGCTGTTCGGGCACTTAGTATGTGCATATATCACAATGGAGTGAAAGGCCTAAGTGTACTGACCATAAGTCCACAAATTAACTCAACCCAACTTATGACACCTTAATTGGATTTTAGCCTGAAATTAGGTCCAAGAATGATCTTTGGAAATATAAATCGCATGATTATTATTATTATCCCAATTTGACTTTTTTCTGTATAAAATATGTACATATATACTCGCATGCATTTTTATTAGGGCCTACATAGCCTTTTCTCGCGATATGAGCGCTTTTTTATTTCTACCGGCGTTGACTCAACGACGCCCCACTGTGCGTCGTTATCAGAGATCGTAAATTTGAGTAAATTTTGGAGGAGAGATCGTAATGCTCATTTTATCAACTGCGCTTGAGTACAATCTTTGTTGAGTGCAATCTCTTTTAACCGCTCAAAGCAAACACAGCGTGTGAGCAAAGTTATCAACCAGCCAGCACACGCACTCACTCATTCCCTCAAAAAATAACAAACAGATCGTCGCTCATAGTTCCACTCACAGTTTTGTCAATTCTTTTATACATACATATGTGTATAGACAAACGACGCGCTTAACTGGAGCAAATTCGCGCCGCAAGTGCATAAATCTTCTAAGACGCCCGCGCACCGCACCGCACCGTCATCAAGCACCGTTGCGCGGCGCGCTTTTGTTAGTGACTTATCGCTATACATTGATCGACAACAAATTGCCGCTGGCAGCATCTTCATGCGTCGTGTGCGCCGCTATTGAAAAATAAAATGAAATGAAAAAAATTACACAAAAATTACAAAAAAGAAAACAAATTATTCAGCATTAAAAAAACAGAAAAAAAATTATGTAGGAGAGCAATAAAATCGCGCGATCCGCTTAGGCACAAAAATGTGGGTGAAATTGTAGCTGCGGCGAACGATACTAAACGTTAGCAGCGTAGGTATGGGCTGGCAGCAGCTGCGCGTAGTATTTTATACATATGTACATACATACATATCGTGTATAAATATATTTTCATTGCAACAAACCACTACTCGCTCTAAATTTGCGCGTGAGTAATAAATTCCGATTACAATTATTTACGCGTCAGCGGTAGGAGCGACGCGATGCGGCGCGTAAATACGTTAACGTCACTCATAAATAAATACTGCTTAGTGGCGCTGCTGCTGGCGCTTTCGAATAAATGTTGACAGAATAGACATTTTATATTATACTTTTCTATACATACATACATATAAGTCCATCTATTTATACATACGTACATATGGATATGTCCAAGTAATAACTCGTAGCAGCGTTTTGATTTGTGCATCTGTCTGGACTTTATAGAGCGCGCGTATATATATTTTATATTTCTGAATCTAAATAACACACAGTTGTGTTCAGAAAAATGGCAGCGAGGAAAGATTTTTATTAATTTTTTTATAGCTTAGATCCTTGTATGCCTCTATACAAAGAACTTGAGCATTTGGTTTGGCTGATGCGGCTGATGATCTGAAACCAACGCGCATAGGACCATTGTGATACCATTGTGTGGTCCTTATCATTTCTTCTTATATGTTAAACATTTAGTGTACTAATCTTAACTGAAGGTAGCTCAGCAAAACACTCGTACTTATTAAGACTGGACAGTGACAGAGCTAGTGATCAATAGAATCTTTCATTCCGAAAAATGCGACAAAAATCTTTCGAGTTTTCTCTTGCCGTGAAGCCCTCTATCCTCTTATAACCTATACTGTTGGAGAACCAGTCAAGGGTTAAATGCCTTGGTCTTTTTGCACTTAGCACTGATTATATCTGCATGCACGAGATCATCTGACATCATCTGAGGATCACTTTCTGCATATCTGTTTGCCGTGGTATCGTGACATATCGTATACAGGCTTTGTTGTGACAAGGAGGGTTTCAGCTCATGCTAGCTTATCTGCTGCGCAGCTGCCCGGAGTGTCCATGTGTCCAGACGTTCAGACCGGGGCTATGATGTATTTGTTGGAGAGTCTCTTCAGAGCATTTTTACATTTTATTTCATTTTTATTTTTAATGTCTCATAACAACTGGGCTGTGGGAATATCTAGCAATCAATTGTTTTGTGAACGTATATTTAAGCATTCGGCGTGTTTCATGTTTGGAAAAAGTTCTGCGTATATCAAGCTGCAATGATCTGGTAGCCTCGTGCCCATATTAATAGACAGACAATGAACCAGGATGATTTGTTTACTCATACGTTTTTGTCTTTTATTTTTTGTGGAAAAGAGAGTGTCGAAGCAAAAGATAGTGTAATCTGCTTCTTCCGTAGAGCAAGAATTAATATCTGGGCATTTTCTTTACACCGATTCCTGGAAATTACTGATACATTTAAAAATATTTATTTTACCCGCCCAAATGTTTTTATACTCTGCTACAATAAATAGAAGTTGTTTCCTTTTAACAATAATAAAAATAATTTTGTTTTTATTATATTACTTTTTTATTATTATTTGAATCCGAACAATATCTAAAATTATTGAGAATTAATTTAAATAAAAAATCTGCATTAAACTTTAAAAGTGCGGTTGGCTCTGGGAGGGGAATGTATACTATTCCTGTCAACAAAATCCATCAGGCGCTTGGAGGCGGCTTATTATAAGCTGTAGGTCCCTTTATTTGGTGGAAAAGATCAAGTTGCAAACCCAGAAATTTGGAGGAGAAGTTCGGCCAAAAATCGCTTGAGCTGTTACAAAACCCCAACAATATAAATATATATAAAAGTTATTTCTAATATTCCAATATATATTCAATGGTTTTTTTCGAGAATTTATTTCTGTAACTCTATTTGCTGATTTCATTTTTGAAATCAAATTTAGTTTCTTATGCTAATTTTGCTGATTCATCTTTTGACTCTGGCATCTTTCGTTTAGTTGTAATCGGATAAATTTCTGTGTCTGAGACAGACATCATTAATGGCATATGTGGGCTTATATCCAAACTGAAGTGTGCCTATCCGACTTTCACCTTTGACTTTGAAAAAATTTAGTTTCTTCGTCTATAAACTTATAAGCTATATTTTTAATGTCTCTCTTTTCACAGATGTGTTCTTTGATTGTTAGAAAATTGAGGCCATTAGGAATGTCTTTAAAGCAATAACAGTAAATTATTATTTCCTTTCAAAGCTATTTGAGACCCAAACCAGTGTGGTTTGCCGCTCTACAGTCATCCAGGAATGTTTTCTCAGTATTGCATTTCAGCTTTTAAATCTAAGAGTGGTTGTCAAGTAGATACTATTTCCACCGATTTCTTCGAAAAATTTGACAATTTTACTTCGTTGATTGAGATTTGATATATTCAATAGAATTTATTAGTTGAGATGCTACTACAGCACCCTCTACAGTGCAGCATTCTTAGCCCTATTCTATTTTTGATATTCATTAATGATATTGGGACTTGCTTCAAACAGGCGAAATTTTTTAATCATCGTCAGAAAGTCTTAAAACTGTTCAGCAAAATTACTCTCTTCTATTATCAAGAAATACATGTAACTGTTTCGAATTCTCAAAACAGTTTTTCCCATTCTCATATAATATTTCTAATATAAATCTTCTTAAAGTTAGAGAATCGACGTCACTTTGCACTTACTCAGTTGAATATTATTTATAAAACTCTTGATTTGAATGTCGCCATATCAAGCTATATTTTTCATTGTAAAATACATTCTCATTTCATCAATATAGCAGAGGTGAAACTAGGCAGATTTATTGTCAAATCGACTATTCATCACGTAGTTGGTTTCCGTACGATTTTCACAATTAAAAAAGGGTTGCCTCTTCATGAATTTATATCATTAGATTTCAAATGTGATCACGAAGGTAATAAAGCTCAATTTTTTTATAATCATTTTCAATGTTTTAGAAAATTCTTGGACTCAGTTATTACGAAAAATATTATAGGAAATTATATTTT